AATACCATCGACCATGGTATCCTTCTGGACTGGCTCAGAGGATTGGGGGTGGGTGGCACCGTGTTGTGCTGGTTTGCCCCCTTTCTCTGGGACCAATTCCAGTTGGTGGTGCTTGGGGAGGACCCGCCTGTGGGCCTTACTGTGTGGGGTGCCGGAGGGTTCGGTATCATAAGCACGCTGATGATACCCAACTATACATCTCTGTCCCTGGCGAATTAAGCAATGCCGTAAATGTCTTATCCTGGTGTCTGGAGGCTGTGAGGGTCTGGATGGGGAACAGGCTTCGGTTGGACCCTGGCAAGACTGAGTGGCTCTGGGTTTTGGGGCCTGCCAGTTCTAGGACTATGCCATCTTTGGTGCTGGATGGGGTGGCACTGCCTCAGATAGACCTGGTGTGCAATCTGGGGGTCCTTCTAGACTCACAACTCCTGCTCAAGGAGGTGGCAGTTGTGGCTGGGAGAGCCTTTGCACAGCTTCATGTTGTGTGCCAGTTGCACCCGTTCCTGGATCAGGAGACTCTGCTCACAGTCACTTATGTCCTAGTCACCTCCAGACTGGACTACTATAATACTCTATACATGGGGCTGCCCTTGAAGAGTATCCGAAAGCTTCAACTGGTGCAGAATGCAGCGGCGCAGGCAGTCATGCGTGCTCCTAGAAGAGCACATGTTATACCTCTGCTCCGTGAGCTGCATTGGCTGTCAATCTGCTTCTGGGTCCTATTCAAGGTGCTGTTTTTCACCTTTAAGGTCTGAGGCATCGCCCCTCTCCGATCACATCAGCCTGTCCCCTTCGACCTGGCAGAGAAGGGATGTTGCCAGGGACTTGCATTTGGTGGGTCCCAGGAAGTGGGCCTTCTCTGCTGTGGTGCCCGCCTTATGGAACACTCTTCCTCCCAGAAGTCAGGTTCGCCCCATCCTTGCTATCGTTTTGGAAAGACCTGGTTATGTGACCAGGCCTGGGGGCTCAAGGGAACCAGAAGCATTCTGAGATGGCTCCACTGTGGTTGATATTTTTGCTCTCTCCGTGTGGTTTATATATTTCAAACTTTTTATAATATTTTAATTTTAATGATTTTTTATTATTTTTATAATGATTGTTTTTATGTATCTGTGGTTTTAATAGATTGCTCACTGCAGAGTCATGTTTTGTGAGATGGGTGGCTATATAAATGTGATAGATAAATAAATGAATGAATGCAAATGTGGAAGAAAAGGCCAGAAATGAAAGAAACAAGAGTGGAAGAGAAGAGCTGAAAGGAGAGAAAGGACAAGCCCTGTATGAAATTTGTATGAGATGTGTGTGAAAATAATTGTGATACGTCAAAAAGCAAGCTAAATGGTGTACTGCAGTGTCCAATTAAAACATGCTGAAAAGGTCAGTCATAAATGCTACAGGAATGTTGAAAATGGATGGCACTGATGAAGAGCAGGTGGCAGTGTGGCCACGAAGGCCTTTGAACAACTTCATCTGGTGCGCCAGTTGTGCCCCTTCCTAGATCAGGCGGCCCTTCAGCCAGTCACGCATGCCCTGGCCACCTTGCAACTTGACTACTCCAATGTGCTCTACTTGGAGCTGTTCCTGAAGACTACCAGGAAGCACCAACTGGTCCAGAATGCAGTGGCACAGGCAGTGATGGGCATGCCTCAGTATGCCCATCCAACAACTCTGCTTTGTGAGCTGCACTGGTTGCCAGTTTGCTTCTAGATGTGATTCATGGTGCTGGTTGCTACCTATAAAGCCCTACATAGCACAGGGCCTGGTTACATGATCATTCAATGTCACAGCACTCTTTACATCCACAGACCCAGAACTAGCGAAAGAATCCATATCGGCAGGACTACACAACACGCCCGGCCTAGCCAAATACCCCCAGATCGGAATACCCGGAATCATGGCCCTCATCGACCTCTGCCTCACTACCTACTTTCAGTCTGATGGACAAATATACCAACAAATTAGGGGAACACCCACGGGATCACCACTCTCAGGACTCATAGCGGAGATTGTAATGCAACGCCTAG